TTTTCCCCCAATCTGCCAAATTCATATTGCCTGTCCCTAAATCTTGCTTTAGAGCTTTAGATGCTTTACTAGTCTTGTTGGATAATTTAAGTCCACTTGAAAATTATAAGCATGGTTGATTGAGGAAAACAAATCATGGGTTTGTTATGCTTATTTTGTTTCAGGCAAAACAGTTGTTCCGAAGGGAATAAACGAAATCAAGCTGATTAGCTCGGGTAAGATCTTGGAGAATAGCAAGACTGTTGGACAGTGTAAAACCCCATTTGGAGAGATTGCAGGTGGAGTCATTGTGATGCATGTTGTTGTACAACCATCCCTAGCAAAAACCAAAACAGGTCATCTTTTTCCCGTCTTGCATATCAGAAACTTTTCTTTTTCATGGTTTAGATTAGAGCTTCTCCAGTAGTATATACTCTTCTTCAGGGTTTCACAAGTCTTGTGTGATTTATCTTGTCACATGTATGGATTATGAATTCGTTATTTGCCTCAACTTTACTTATTGTAATATCGTCTACCTCTAATCATACGTATGAGGCTGATACTAGTTCATAAGACTGTTAATCCACTACACATGGCACATCAGCAAGTTAGTCAATGACTAGGATCAGTATCAGATGCTTAGTAGTGTTGAGTATATGTGGTTTGTTTGGCTTGGAGAGTAGGTGATGCTCTAGAATTCATCCCTAGGTTTCTAGTTTATTCTTTGTTCTACTTTTCACTGAAAAGTAAAGCAGAATCAGCTCTAAACCTAATAAAGGCGTGCCATGAGGGTTGAGTTATTGGTGTTATACAAACCTTTTCAATTATCCATGGGTGCTTCTTTTGCCTAACCCACTCAAATGTTTTCAACCTATAAGATTTTGTCTCCATGATATTTTACACAAAGTTGATTACCCTGAGTTTATGTTTTCTGAGAGATGGCGGTTTTGTGTATATTGAATCCCCAAATGCTATGATTGTTGTGTTGAATCCATGTCAAAGAATTGTAACTAACACTTAATCATTGGTTTGATTGAACAGAGAAGAAGGTCGATAAAGCACCCAAGACGGTTATCTGCACGTGCACCATTTTGTAAAGGGGCGCAAGACATGTATCACATACACAGACCGTCTCAATTCTTCAGGTACAG